ATACGGTTTAAAAATTCAACGCGGATCATACCGATTACATTGCTGGTGTTAATAAAAAAATGCCCGTTACGTTTTCCCATCGCCACGATCGAAACAAGCATTAATTATTTTTTTACAAAACATTCTCTAGTCTTACGCCCGGCTTCTGAAACATTGATCATCGTAGATGTCAACTAATCAGCTGTCAAATGGCTTTTCAAATTTCATTTTAGTTGCCAAAAGGATGGGCGTGAGTCTTGTCACTAAGCAATGCTTGTACTATGGGTACTAGAAAACTGATAAACATACTTAAACATACTTTTCTTTTGTAAATGAATACATATTATACATTTATAAACACCGAGACACTGGAAAAACACGATGTTCACCAAACAGTATTTTCCAGTAGTGGGGATCGAACCCACACCCTGTGGGGTAACAGGCACGTTCACTACTCCCCACGCCATTCGGGTCGTAGGTATATTTTGAAATCGTAGGTCGTAAGTATATATAACACGGTATATTTTAAAATAGATAATCGAGTATCAATTACAGTGATGATTTGTACATTTGTCTAAATGTCGTATTAAATATTTATCGTTCCATCGTCGGCCGATGAGATTCGAATAAATTTTATAAAATTACATATTACCATAAAACATGTTTTACTGGTCTTTGTCGAATGACAAGCGACTATAAATATCATCTGATTTTACTTGTAATAAAATAAATGGTTGATGTCGATTCGATTTTGGTTCTGTTTATTTTTCCATATTCGTTTCACTAAATATTTGGTAAATAAGAATGTACCATTGACATCTAGTATTTATTTCTTTTATAATTTGTTGTTTATTTCATTGTTGTGCATTATTACCGCATAGTAATGTGCTATTTTAATATTGTAAATAGTTATGTGCTATTTTAAACTTTCATTTAATATAACTAAAGTAGGGACGTAATTTAATAATGTTAATTAAACATTTATCATGACAATGTATTTACATACATAGACATACAGTATTTTCACTTTTTAATAATAATAATAAATAATAAATATTTTTAGGACACATTTTTTACACAACATTGTCTAGTCCCAAACTCAGCAAAGCTTGTACTATGGGTACTAGAAAATAATATAGCTTATATGTCACAATAAGACATAGGCTATAATTTATATACTTATTTTATGTATATCTGTCTTTCTGTCTGAATGTTAAGCCTTCAGCCTATTCTACGCAGACGTAGTCGCGGGCTGCTGCCCTAGTATAGTCTTATAATATATACTCAGTGGGTTACTATAAAAAAACGCTTAAGCTTGGCATCATGCAAACAGTCGCGATAAAATCTCTAAAGGGTTTATTTATTAATATGCTCATTTATAAGGCGCACTAATAACCATACATTTTGGAAATATCTAACGTTAGATAGAAACGGGTCGTATTATAAATCCATCGAACGCGACGGGGTTCCACCAGAGAACTGGATCCACCGGGCCCATTATAATTTGTAACCATTTTATAGACCCCAACGAGCCACTAAAGTTTTCTAAATGCCCCCCAACGTCTGTTCGGATGTCGTGCGATAATTAAAATTGTCGTAAAGTTTTTGTCGGGTGTAATACGTGAACTCTTTGTTTCTGTTGGACCGTGTGCATTTGTTGTCATTTATTTTATTTATTGCCCCGCACTTATAATGTACCGGTTAATTGGTCTATATTCTCGGTATCCTGATCTAGTGATTATCTAATTGACTAGAAGCGTCGTGTCATTTAACATTTTTCCGACCACAAGAAATAGTATTAATAATTCGTGTTAGACTAAAAGTATCAACGAATAGTCTAAATAAAGCTGTGCGTCTATCTGTAGATCAACTAGATCTTTAGGGCGAATAAAAAGTAGCTTTCCCAAAACTTTTTAAGGCTGACGCAGGCGATAAGATGTTGGACGGTACTTAGCTTTTTGCCTCTTACGCCCGGTTTCTGCACTGATCATCGTAGATGTCAACTAACCAGCTATCAAATGGATTTCAGAGTTTAAACATTCTTTTGGCAACTCAAATGAAATTTGAAATGCATTTGACAGCTGATTAGTTGACATTAACGATGATCGGTGTTTCAGAAAGCGGGCGTTAATCTGCGATAAAAGTTTATTCGGAAGCGTATTTTGTACCTGAAGCAATAGTTCCTTAGTCGATGTCAAAATCGATATCTGTTTCGATAATGATCCAAAGGGTTATTTTGTGGAGTAAAACAATGCTTGGGTGCGATGTATCGAGTGGTTAACGTAAAAAGAACACTTAAGGACGTGCATGGATGCCTATGTAGGGGAGTGTTAGCATCATGGTTACTAGAAATCTGTGTTCTGTGTTATCCTTCTGGGATGGGCATTTGTAAGCGAGTTTGTACGTACAAGTATGTATCAATCAGAAAAAAATTAAATTAAAATGTGTGTTATATGCCTACTAGCTGTTATCCGCGGTTTCACGCGCGGCCAAAGGGAATTTACAATGAGTTTTTTTATTATACACCAGAATATCTCGCAAATGGCTGAATTTTTTCTTACTTAGTTGACAATTCAAAAAATATCTTTATATATTATAGCCTATGTGTTATTCTGATGTAGAAGCTATATTATTTAAAGTTTCATTAAAATCTATACATTAGTTTTTGTGTGAAAGAGTAACAAACATCCATCCAGCCATACAAACTTTCGCTTTTATAATATTAGTAAGTAAAGATTTCAAACTATAGGCATACAATTGTAATTATTCATTTAAAATAAAATAAAAACTTTCAATTTATTATTCGTGCATTAATTAATTTGCGTTTATAACGCAGAGAGGTGCGCAGAGATTTTGATTAATAATATTCTCATATTTGTTTCGTTATCGTATTTAAGTATTGCCAAGGTACCGGCTTCGGCGGCGCGGGTCGTGGGTTCGATTTCCACACGGAACAACTGTTTGAGTGACTCACAGATAATTGTTTCGAATCTGGGTATTTGTCCACGTGAAATTTATGTTTGCACAACGTACCTACTTACAGAACTTTAGGATATTTTCCTAAAGTAAGGGCAATTTTTTTAAAATACAAATTAAGGATGATACAAATCATTTATAAAAGTAAAAAGTAAAGTAACAGCCTATACATGTTCCACTGCTGGGCAAAGGCCTCCTCTATACAGAGGGTATCAGGGCATAGTCCACTACGCGTCCCCACTGCGGATTGGCGGACTTCACATATTTTCGGAATACATTTTTTTGTTATTATTTCGAAAATATGCAGGTTTCCTCACGATGTTTTCCTTCACCGCGGAGCACGTGATAATTCAGCACTTAAAGTTAAAAACTTCATTGGTGCCGGCACCGGGGATCGAACTCAGGTTGCTCGAGTATATATTGAAATAAAGGCGAGCGCCCGGACACTGAGGTATCACGGCTCTGTTAAAATAATTTATATACTGATATAATTCAGCTATATCTTCACCTGCTCCTTAGATGCGAAAGGAAAGCAATAAATCGTACAACTTCCAAAAACAACACGCTCCGAAGAAACAAAAGAGAGCTAGCGCGTCGTAATCCATAGTCTATCTTCGGCGGAGACAGGGCCGAAAGTATAATCGTTCGGACATAATAAGGTCCTAATAATGGGAGTCTGGCCGACAATGGCCACTGAGGCGGGGTCGCGGGATCGATTACCCGCCGAGGACGCGCTGTTTACAGCCTGATGCGAGTCGACCAAGCGTCGCGCCGGAGCGACGTCACCCCCATCTTACCGGGTAAAGGTGAGACGGCCCCGGGCGTAATGACGATCGATATATATAAGTAACGAGCTCTTATAACTAACCGTACATTGTAATTCGCTTAATGAATTATATTATTTTAAAGATTTTTTTATATATTAGTTTTACTTCAACCGCGTGTGAAGGTTACTCGCACTTGTTATTGGGATTCCTTACCTAAAGAGTAAAACGGGGCCCTACTACTAAGACTTCGATGTCTGTCTGTCGTTTAATGGGTATCAAATAAGGTAGGAGTAATCCGGGGCCCGCTCTATATAAGAATGGGCACCGCATATGCGAACCCACAAGTGTCATAGACCTTCATGTGGTCCTCACATGGTCTAAGGCATGTACCGTGTTAGTTGTTACAGCTCTGGTGCAACAAAAATACAGACCTAGTATTAGGACAATATTAATGAACGACATGACTAACAAGAATGAAACATATTTATTGAATGAACACACTCAAGATGAAGTTATAAATATAAAGATCCAAGATCGATTATTAAGGACGAAAAAATTCACATGAATAAATAAATTTTGAAGTGCATAACCTATTCTTTCGTAGTTGTTACTTTCTCAAAATACATAAAGATCGATTACAATTGTATTAAACGTTTTCCTACATTTTCTAATCTTCACATACACTTTAGCCGTTCCGTCTGTTCCTGATCGTGTAACTTCTGAACGACTTAAGCGATTGAGGTCACACAACATATTTGCTTCGTCGAGGCAATGGTTCACAGCTGTGCCAGGATCCAGCGCGAACAACTGAAAGAGTTTTACTAACTTATATCTAATAGCTGACACTAGACAAGTAACATACTTCAGTGTGATTCTGTTTTCGATTTATATTCGGAATAAAATCTTACTAAGTTACAAATATGTACGTTTGTGTGTATGTGTGTGTTTTCTTAAACCAACATATCGAGCAAACAATTGGATCGTCCACTTTACCAAAAGGAATAGATAGCAAGCGCTTTGCAAAGCTTTTTGTGGGTGGGTGGCCAGTTACCTCACTCACCACATGAAACGCGATGGTGAAATATTTCTTCTTCCCTGTGAGCCTGTAGAACTTTCCCGGCAGACAGGTTTTAAGACAGACCACTGATAGCGGAAAATTAAAATTGACCATTGAAATCATTTCGGACAGAAGAAAACGGACGAAGCCGCGGCCGAGGGCTAGCGCGAATCCATTCGATACACCAGGCAACGTCGACGTGTGCAACTCTTACATGCGACATGGCCCCCGGTTGCGACACGTCGGCGCTCACGCGACATGACCGCGCACGATCTTACACGACGCGAGATTTTAGGTCGACGCTGATAACGCGAGGCGACTGCTGCGTCTCAAACCTGCGGCTATGCCCAGTCGAGCGTTCGCTTTTGATACGTCGGTAATATAAGCCGATAGGCACTTACGATATCGTAGGGCTAACGTTCGCACTGCATGTTAATATTCGACATGGAAATAATGATGATACGCTGTTTGGACGGGATGTTAGTGACACGATGAAATTTTAATTAAATTTTTAAATGTAAACTTCATTTTGAGAAAGATGTACCGTTGAGAAAAGGAGAAAGAGCAGCGCGTATCATTTAAGTTCTTCTATCATGTGTGTGCTGCATGCGAAATTTTATTCTAGATATTGTTTTATTTTCGGAAATCTTCGTCAGCACAAGTACGATAACGAAGCCGAAGTTCTTTCGTAGTTGGATGAATGGTATTCGAAGGTATGGCTTCTACGAAGACGCATAGGTAAAATTTTAAGAAGAGGCGAAAATCCGCCCAAACATAGACAATAATTTGTTTCAGAACATATTTGTCTTACAAATTACCAATTTGCATTGTGCACTAATTTGCGCTTGATTTCCATCGCTTGACATCGCAGAGAAACGTCTCCGAGAACCAATCAATCACGAACACATATATTGTAGTAAGCTCTTTTGTTCTCAACTTAAGTGGGCGTGCCAAAAGAGATTTACACGCCGAATGTGAAAAACCCCAGCAGGAGCGTGTGAAGAAAAATCCCAGAAGTACGTTTATTAATGACATCGGTGACATCAACAAGACGATCCGAAGAATGCGTGCGAAAAAGTTGATGGATGCGAACAAAGCTATGTCAATATCGTCTTGTGTTACGCACTATTGTAACTACCTACTTTGTTCGGGATGAATCCTGATCTATTTACAGATATACGCTACTTCCGGTTTAACGATACCTTTCAATGAATAATAAACAATGTAGGTGCTAGTATTTTACCTTTAGGCACACCTGTTTGTATACTTAACACTTTTTAATATATACTTGTAAAATTGTAAATCTACAAATTTTTTTCATTAGAAAGGGTTTGCCTACAGCCGTTACAATATTACAAAAACAAGGTAGAGGAATAATAAAGCTTTCGCTAATTGCAGGTAACCCCAAAGTGGTTCCATGTTTAATTCTGTTTTAATTTTAAGGGATACGTTACTTGTTTTATTTCGCTTATGGGATAGCGACCGAGTCAACGGTTTGCTCTAAGGTAAATGAGGAATGCCGCCCAAAGTCTCTTATACACCGGTAAACTTTCTGTCGTGTTCAGAACCATTGAGAGCTTAGGCTTCCAATTAGATAAGTGTTAGAACGAAGCGCAAAAGTATAGATACTTATATTTCGCGCTGGTTTTCTGCTAAGCTAAAATTGACCAGACGTACTCAAACAACAGAAGCTGATTAGTAAGTTGTCTCCTTACCTTAAGGACTATCCAAATTAAGAAACTAGCAATTAATCTGACTGCCCCTGTTTGTGGCAGGCATGTACGACTATATATGGATCATACTTAAATTACATTGCACTGTTAGTATAACCGCTAAAAGTATAGGTACATATCTTATGTCGCAACATCTCAACAGATTTGATTAAATACGAAATACAGCTTTAAGGCAGGCTTGTCTATAACTATTGATGATTTATTTTGTTTAATATTTTTCTAAAGTTTATTTCCATTCTTCCATATATAAGGTAACAAAGGACGTACTCAAAGCCCTAAAGCATTCCTTACCATTCAGCCTAGGATGCGGTGAGTTTGTGAAGCTTTATTGGACACAGAGCAAGTAATGAGGCTACAGTTTCCATGGGTTTAAATTTGGTTGCCAGCTTAGGCCTGTTGAAGCCGCGTATGTAGACTGCCGCTTCGACGACTATGGATAATGGTAATCATTTGTCGAGAGCAATGGGAATTGCCCTCGACCGCGAGTGTACCTTGGTCTCGCTATAAGAACGAGGACCAAGGTACAGAAGGTAGAGATTGCTTCTTAGTTTAAACTATCATTTTAACGGGAATGGAAAGCTGTAACGGTGATTTCATAGTTTGCTCAACGGCTGTAGAACTGTATTCACCGATCGGTACCGCTGACGTAGCGACGGGAGTCAGCCGACCGGGAAGCGAACCGGCCTCCCATACGCGACAGACGCGGAGGCCACGCAAGTGCGCCGTAACACTATACGGAAGCCGGTGCGTCAGGTGCGCGTTGCGTGTTGCGTGTTGTGCGTCCGACGGGAGAATTGCGTGCGCGACTGTACGCCACGATTTGGACTGCGTTTCGAGTATAGTAGTATACGAGTTTTTGTCGGCGTTTTGTGTGCGACTGTACATCACGATTTGGACTGCATTTCTAGTGTATACGAGTGTGTGACGGCTTTCGCGCGCGACTGTACATCACAATTTGGACTGCGTTTCGAGTTTAGTATACGCGTTGAAACGTAACGCTCTGTACGCGTATGTACACGTTGCACCGCACTTAATTCGGCACGACGGTTTTCAGTTAGTTTTTTCCGGACAGTCGACTGTCTGTTGCCGAAATCCTAAGGCAAAGACACCCGGATTCGGAACAATTACCTGTTGGTCGCACAAATACTTGTCCTGTGTGGGAATCGAACCCAACGAACCCCGCTGTGGAGGCCAATGTTCTAGAAACTTCGCCACCCTCGTATTACATCATACATTTTTTTTATTTAAAAGTTATAAATATTGCGCCTTTCGTATGATAACATTATACTGTATTGTAAGGACTAACACCTAGAGCCGAAACAATTATGTGTGGGTCACACAAATAATTTTCCCGTGTGGGAATCGTACTCGCAATCCACGGAGCTGACGCCGCTATCTCAGTAACTGTGCGACGAAGTCATCCATTAAACAATATTATGCAAAAAGAGAGATTTGTGATGAAACGGGCGGAAATATTTAAAATAATTGTGTTCACATTAAGTCTAAGTGTACACAGGAATTTTTACCCTAATGGGACTTTCAGAGAGAAGCCCCTAGACGTGAAATGTGTTAAGCTTGTTGCTCTGCATATTTACAAATAATATTGAAAAGATTCGGTCGAGCACAAATTTTTAAACCTTGTCTTAGACATCGGATATAATAAATATAAGAAACAACAACGTTCTAACATTGAAAGCACACATTAAGCAGGTGAATCTGAACCATCGGACGATAAAAGTGCTTCATCGATTTATCAACATTTGATGTAATCGAGTTAATGAAGTTTTTTTGTTTTTTACATTTTGATTTTTATGTTTTACATTTTACACTACGTCATCTAGTCTCAAACTGAGCATTTAAATTTAGTACTATGGATCATGGGTTACAAACGAACCCACATAAACTTACTTTTCTTTTGTAAATAAATAAGTATCAGAATATATAAGATACCCCATACACTACAAAGCACTGTGCGTCACACAATATTTTTCCCGTAGTGGGGAACGAACCGATGCCCTCTGGCACAAAAGGCAATATTAATGTTCAATATGCCAATAGGGTCGGTTTCTGATTATGTACCTTCTCATTCGTCACAATTTCGTAAGTCGTTACGTGATCGTGGCTTAATCCGACTCCAATTTCAGCGACATCGCTCACTTACCGCCCCGCAATTTGCATCGATCCGTTCGAACGGAGTGTACAGAGAGCCGCCGCCTTATCCATTTATACCGGCAGCCGGCACTCCTCGAGGTCTCTCGAGACCGAATCTAAATGATACAAATCCCGGTCGGCGTCGCGGCGCCCCTGTCGTCGAAGGCGCCCATTACGTGTGACGCTGTTGGGAATAGCCCCCCACGCCAACGGTTGCCTTCAGGTAGACGCGGATAGGGCGCCCATTACGTGTGACGCTGTTGGGAATAGCAAATGTTTTTTTTCATATGTGAGAAAATGGCGAACTATCTGCCACATTTTATAAAGTAATACAGAAATAACAATTCCACTTCACGTCGGTCGTCTGTGAGGTCGTGGTACTCACCCCGACCTGCCCATTCGTGTAAAAACGTCGAACGTCGGAGAGAACCGTGCACGGCCATCGTTACGTATTCGAAACCCGGGCTTAATTAATTTAGCCCGGTCCGTGGCGCAAGCAGCCGCGGCTGCACCTCGGTGGATTTAGTTCAGCCCCGCTCGCCGCAACTTGGAAACTGACTGAGCAATATCTCGAAGAGCCGCCCGCCTCAAACTCGATCGCTCAAATTGAATTGTATAATGTTTTGTTCATTGATTCCCGTCGGCGAGTTTCGGAGTGCGCCGCTGGTGGTTCTATGCAGTTTTAATGACTCGACGGCGCAGTTCCCATGCTGTCGGCTTCGGCGTCGGGGGTCGTGAATCGATTCCCACGCGGAAGAAGTATTTGTGTGCTGTAACTGGTTCCGTATATGGGTGTTTTCAATTCAAATTTGTGTATGTATAACGTCCGTACTTCGAGCGTAGGTTGCTTCTAAGTGTTTTTTAAACATTGCCCTTACTGTAAAATAACATTATCCTGCGTTGTAAGAGCGTATTGCAAACATAAATTCACGTGGACCAAGATACAAATTCACCGCAACAATAATCCGTGGGTCACACAAGTAATTGTCCCGTGTGGGAATCGAACCCACGACGCCCGACGCCGATGCCAATGACTTGACAGCGGTGCCACGGAGTCAGTGTCTGACCGTTGTTTGGATTTAATCTTACGGATACACATCCGTAAGATTAAATCCGGACACCGGCGAAAAAATAATAAGTAAGTCCATTTATTTATTATTTTATTTATTGTTAGCGATGTTAGTTAAATAATGATTTACATTACACGATGACAGTAATTACTCGATTTTCATATGTTTAATGATATTGTAGTTTTCCTTGTGAAGATGAGTAAGCCTATATGTCTCATTTCAGTTTAAGCAATGGGATACGACAATTTTGAATCCACTGCTACAAGGCAAGCACAATCCTGAGCCACTTGCATCCATCTAATTCCCGCACACTTGCACATGTCGTTACACCATCTAGTGGGAGTTCGTCCTCCACTACGATAACCAATGCGAGGCTACTGCTCGAGACCCTTTCTTCCCCATCGAATTTTGGTTCTTCGTACCATAGGGCCGGCGCATTGCCACTTACAGAGTCTCCGAGCTGCGTCGCTTACCTTTGTTCTACAGCGAATGTCTTCGCCAACTCTAAAATTAGAAAGGGAAAAATACCAGGATTTAGGTGTTTCCTCCCGGAACCACCGGCGCTCGTGCGTAATCACCATTAATTAATCCGCAACAACATGTCCCCCGCATACCCTCGTAAGTGTGCCGGGAAGCGCGGAATTACGACTCTTTGTTAACGTCAACACGCCGAGATAAACATCCCATCGCGACGTCCTTTAAAAAGTAACCCAAGATGGAGCCGTTTTAATTTATGACTGCGTTACTTTAAACCCTTCAATCGGACGAATGTGAATCCTATGACGGAGCCATAGATTTCAAATTGCCGCGGCGGCACTTCAACGCCATATATATTAAGTACAAAATCCAATGGATCCTTGGCGGGATTGAAGGCGAGAGGGAAAAGGCGAATACGATACATGCCAGGAACGCTTTTTCGGTTGCGAAAGAAAAAAAGTGTCGTCGGCATCATAAATTATCATAAACACGAAGTATTTTGTTTGCACAGATAAATACTGGTTTCCTTTGAGTCTGTCGTATTTTTTTCTGCAAACTGTACGGTATTGAGCTGTACAACTTCTGGCTAATGACTTCGTCCGACCGCGTGCCTAGAAAATTCTATAATTCTGTATGCACATCGCAGCAGCGTTGCGTGCGGTATTTGATAATAACGTTAAATAACGATCACCGCATTGCCGCATCGACACATAATTGACAGGGTAAGATGATACTTTAAGATACGGAATATTGCTGCAGTAATAACGTCATATAATTGATTAATAAAGTTTGTGTGATGTGAATATCTTTTTGCAAAACTGTCGTGACGAAGGTGGTAATTAACTTTAGGTACCTATAATGAAATACCTACTACATTAAAGTCATGTCTTTTTTGCTGGTCACATGTCACCATCATCTATACACGTGGTGCATTTCTATTCTAATACAAAATGTAAATTGAAAAATATAAAAAAAAAAATGTGGAGATGAACAAAATCAGAAACATATGGGAAAGAAAGGATCTCTATTGGCCGCCTCGTATTGGGCTATCGTAGTGTAGGAAGACCCACCACTTGTGAAGATGCTTGGTGGCAGCCTTTGGGGGAGGCTTATGTTCAGCATTGGCTCGATCAGGCTGAAATGATGGCGATGATGAAACAAATAAAGCTCACACAGATCTTTAATCCTTTCACCCTACCGTCGATATCTTTGACGCCCAACTGGCCTACGACCGTTGGCAAGTCTCTGGTATGTACACTAAACGGTCCGACCTTCGTCTAGCCTCAAAACACGTATCTGATTAACGACTTTTACGAGTAGCTAGTTAAATTCATACCTATATCCTTATAATTCGATATGTCTGTTTGTGTAATGTGATAAAAATATTATTCAAAAGATAGCATATGGAATTAATATATAGGATTTTATATTATGCACTTGTGAGTTGTTTATTTTAGGTTTAATAAATGCGAGTGGTCTATAAATTGTTACTAATAGCCTTAATCTTCCCCACTTAAAATTTAACTAGTCTAGACCGAGGCCACTCTGAAATGCTCGGTTCCGCTGCCTTTGTTATGATGACTATGTAAATTTATGTGATAAATTATTCGCGTACCGTTTGCTAAATTACGCAATCGTACTTGTAAAAACGACGATGTAGAAACAACTTGAATAGAACAAAGTTGCATTTCAAGAAGATCCATGTATGTTTCTGCAGTATCACGCACATAGAGACTTCTCGTCAATAAATTTATTAGGTTGTAATTAACACGTCGAACTCCACTTAGCGTCAGATGTGAGAGGGACTAGCGCAACAGGTGGCGGGGCCGTCGCAAATGAATGTCAAAGCGACATAATTAAAAGATACACACGTTCCGTGTTCACACTGAGGTCAAAGAATATCCAGTCGGCAATGGATTATCATATTTTCCTTGCGTTATTACTACCTCTAGTTAAATCAGAGTAAGTTTCATGAATAGTTCTGCTTGCAGCTTACAGATGTAAGGATCCTCGGTCATGATGATGTCGTTTACTGACTTGTTGTGGCAATCGTTCACTAGCCATGTCAAAAGGCACTATTGACGTGATGGTCTATCACCGTTCTTCAGCCGTGATAGCTCAGAGCCCGGGTGCTGTATTTTAAATTCGTTGTACCAAAGAAACCACGTTTGAAAGCCAATACCAATACTAATAATAATGATTGTTATAATTTTCTTTTTATTGGACTATGTCCTGATATACTGTGCGTGTATAGCATTTGCCCAGCTATGTGGGACTTAGCTACGTATGAAGGACGCTTCTTTTTTACATATTTATTCTGCAGTCTTTATTTGACCTCGCGTAATAACTTAGCTAAAGATAATCTCACTTATTACGTTTTTATTAAGTTTACATTTTACTTATTAAATTCCTCCTTTGCAGGCGTATCTCCCACCGTCCGATCCCAGTGTGAGTTGTGATACTAAAATGCTTTTACTGAGATTGTGCTCTCACGGCTTAGATATTTTCCAAGGTGGTTTTTAAGCAGCCCTGATAGTCCACTGAATAGTGTTGAGGTTGTGATCTGTATTAATAAATATTATTGGGTTTCAGCGAAAAAGATATGAAGGTTCGGATAACACCTTTTCTAAAAGGTCCCCGTCCCTAAACTTTCTTGCTCACTTACCTTAGTAGGATGGTTGATTGATTTTAACACCAAGTATTAATTATTCCATACATAAAGGCCGGAAATTTCTGGCATCGGTTTACTGAACTGTGTTTGAGTGTAAACAACAGATTGTTTTAGGATTAAGTTTTTATTTTTAGCCCTCTTCTCTGAACTTAAGATGAAACTTTAAAAAGTGCGTTTTCGTAATTAAGTGAACAAAAACTTTCGGCGCTAAGAGCTTCGAACCTGCGTTTTCCGATTTCGCTTTACCAACTAAGCTAAGCGGGCGTTGTGACCTCACATGGCGTAAATCTCGACATACATTATCTACGTTCAGTTTATTGCATTTTTTACAATGCTCGGTTACGGAATAAACAGGCGGTTATCAATTACCGGTTGTAAGGAAGCGTTCGATCGCTTTCCGTTTAATGTGATACGTTGTCGGCGAGAGGGAGAGAGGGGGGTGCAGGTTGGAAGGAGAGGTCGTTAAAAGTGCACGCGTCGCGAACTCAGACACGTCTAATACGCTCTCAATATGTACGCGTCTCGCGAGACGCTGGTACTGCTAGTATATCCCGTCGCATCGGATATCGCTTCGCAATCTACTGTACATTATGCGATTCGCCGATCGAAAGCGTCCGCTTTTAAGTGTGTATACGATTACCCGTAAAGCTGCAGCCTATACTAGTGATTGGGAATCGAGGAAGTCGCGGATTGAATCTCATTACTCAAAAGTAACTAATAATAAACAAGCTGACTAACAATTCATCATGCTTTAATAGAGAATTCGAATTGTAAAATATGTATTTGATTACACATTGGTGCAGTTGTCAAGGCTTCGTCGCCGTGGGTCGTCGTTTCGTTTCCGTTAGTGTGACGTACAAATATGTAATTGTTTCGGACATGGGTGTTTGCCCATTGTAAAATTTCCTTAAATATACAACATAGTATAATATTATACAAGTACAACACCAATATTGGACCCGAATGGCGTAGTGTGTAGTGTACCTGCCTCGTCAGAGGATGTGGGTTCAATCCCCACTACGCGAAAAATATTGTGTGATGAACATAGTGTTTTTCTAGTGTCTGGGTGTTTATATATGTACAATATATATTTATTTACAAAAGAAAAATAAGTTAAGTCTGTTTATCAGTTATCTCGTAGCCATAGTACAAGCGTTGCTTAGTTTGGAACTAGAGAAAGTTGTGTAAACATGTGTCCAAAAAAAAGTATAATGTTGTCGTCCCGTATGGCAATGTTCAAAAATATAAAAGAAAAAAGGTATAATTTTAACACCACATACCGGCTACATTCTTGCCGTTCCATAATTAAACGCATAACACTGTATACTTTTGGTATAATTATAAAATTATAGCAGAAAACCGACGACGGGAAGGTGCTTCCGTTAAAACAGTTGTAACAAACTCTCGATGCGCCTGTTAGTATATTTGAACTCGACGAAGGTTTACCCATAAAAGTACCACATCC